CCTCTTCCTTCCCTTTCTGTGCAAAACCTACAATCATGGTTGTCCAGCAGATCTTATCCTTCCCTTTCATCATACTAAAAATCTTACTTGCATCATCTAAATGCCCACTTTGAATGTAAGCACCAAGTACGTTTGAAAATGTAACCTGATCAGGCTTCAAGCCTAACAACTGCATTTCATGAAACAAATCAATGCACTTATCTGGTTGCCCATTTTTCAAATAGCCAGAAATCATAGAATTCCATGAAACCACAGTCTTATTAACAATTCGATCAAACAAACACTTCGCCCTATCGACCTCACCACACTTTGCGTACAAATCAATCATAGCATTCCAAACAAAAGCATTCTCCCCTGAATCACTGACAAGAAGCCTCCCATGAATCTGTTTCCCACGCTTCAAATCCAGTAACTGGGAACAAGCCTGTAAGGCACTAACGTGGGTGTAGGCCGAGGGCTCAAACCCTTCTTTCTGCATCCTAACAAAAATCGCCAATGCGTCACTTGAAAACCCATTTCCAGAAAAACCAGAGATTACTGTGTTGTAAGAAACCGAATCTCGAACAGGCATTTTTTCAAACACTGTTCTCAAATTCTCAACAGAACCCGATTTGGCATATGCAGAAAGCATCATGTTCCAAGAGAAAATATCCCTATTAGGCATTTTATCGAACAAGTTCCGGGCGAATGATAGTTTCCCGGATCTCGCATATAAATGCAGGAGACGATTATGCAGAAACGTGTCGTTGGGTTCAAACAATGTAGTTTCCATGTGAGATTGCAATCTCCTGGCGAGATCGACATCGTTGACTCGCACACATTCGAGGACGAGGCGGGTGTAGGCTTCATGTGATGCTTGACGCTGAGAGTGGAGTGAGTATACCGCTTGGCAGAGCTGGTATTTGGGTTTCATCAAGAAGGGTTTCCTGTTGGAGCTTCGACTTTTTCATATTACAGTTTTCTGTTGGATGGCGTGAAATGGCGCGCCATGTGGAACGTAAAAGAAACCTCCATTCTTTAGTGCGACAATGGCTTCGTCTCATAGCAACTGTCTGAATTTTTTTAAAATGTTTAATTATTATCGCAATTAAAAGCATGTTATTATATAAAACAATCATGATAATCGGTAATTATTTTTTATAAAA